ATGAAGAAGTCAAGACACCTTAGACTTTAATTTGCATTAAAATATAACTTTTATTTCATCAGATATTTATGGCATTTTCCCTCAGTCTCTATTTGTGTCTTTCAGCTTGTCCTCCCACTGTTGCCTCTGGGAAATGAACATAACTGCTAGCACTGCCAATGCCATCACTGGAATAGAGTTTTTTTAAAGTCACTTTATTTAAGCTAAAAAATAAAATAACCTCTAAAATGGAATTTTTAATGTTCTGTATTCTTTTTTAAATAACTAACTGCCAGTTGAAAAGCTGGCATTTGAGCCTATGGCTTAAACTCATGTCCTAGGTTTTAAAAATTAGACTAGGAAGATGGGAATCAAGTAGTTTTAGCTTTTGTGCTGAGACTCAGATTGTACTGCAAAACATGTGGGATATTCCAAACACAGGAACAGGATTCAAATACTGGGTAAAAAAAGACATGAGAAATGTCTATTATATCCACTTATCAAATGCCTTCCCTATTTTCTTTGATGTATAAGGGATCATCAATAGAAACTTGATGATTTTATCTATACATACTATTTTCCCCTGAAATGGTATATAAAATACAATATATAGGTAGTGTTGTTGCTCTTTTTTAAAAAAATGAATATATTTTTTACTGAAGGATAATTGCTTTACAGAATTTTGCTATTTTCTGTCAAACCTCAATATGAATCAGCCATAGGTATACATATATCTCCTCCCTTTTAAAACTCCCTCCCCATCCCACCTCTCTAGGTTGATGCAGAGTCCATGTTTGAGTTTCCTGAGCCATACAGCAAATTCTCATTGGCTATCTATTTTGCATATAGTAATGTCAATTTCTGTGTTACTGTTTCCATACATCTCACCCTCTCCAGTATTGCTCTTAAACAGGCTTTCAGATTTGTCTTACTAATCCTAGAAATTAATTAATGAATGCCTAGAAAGTTTGCTTGACATATTAATCTCTTATATTAAATGAGAGTTGAAGATGAATAAGAACAGCCTAGAAACATCAGTAAAGGACACAATTAGGGAATAAGACTTTATATTTTGGGGCTCCAAAATCACTGCAGATGGTGATTGCATCCATGAAATTAAAAGATGCTTGCTCCTTGGAAGAAAAGCTATAACCAACCTAGATAGCATATTAAAAAGCAGAGACATTCCGTGGCCAGCAAAGGTTTGTCTAGTCAAAGCTATGGTTTTTCCAGTAGTTATATGTAGATGTGAGAGTTGGACTATAAAGAAAGCTGAGCACCAAAGAATTGATGCTTTTGAACTTTGGTGTTGGAGAAGATTCTTGAGAGTCCCTTGGACAGGAAGGAGATCCAACCTGTCCATCCTAAAGGAAATCAGTCCTGAATATTCATTGGAAGGACTGATGCTGAAGCTGAAGCTCCAGTACTTCGGCCACCTGATGTCAAGAACCGACTCATTGGAAAAGACCGTGATGCTAGGAAAGATTGAGGACAGGAGGAGAAGAGGACGACAGAGGATGAGATGGTTGCATGGCTTCACCTACTCAGTGTACATGAGTTTGAGTAAACTCTGCGAGTTGGTGATAGACAGGGATGCCTGGCTTGCTGCAGTCCATGGGGTTGCATAGAGTCTGACGTGACTGAGTGACTGAACTGACTAAGGGAATACGTTTTCAGAGGAACATGCAAATGGGTATAAAAAGAGATGATCATGAATGAAGTAGTATATTTTCACTTGGTAGAGGAGGCAGTGAATCTAATCAAATTTAGGGTAGCTAGTTTGACAAAGTTTTGGAGGTTGAACACTATCGTTAAAGAATTCTGATTACTTGTGTAGTTACTTACCTTTTCTTCAACACATTTAAAAAAAGAAGAAAAAAGGTTTTACATGGCATCAGCCAACCCCACCACTCATATTTAGTCTAGGTATTAGAAGAGAGACTAGGTGGTGACTCCAGACAGGGTGTTAAGAGACGGGAATACCAGACCACCTGAGCTGTCTCTTGAGAAATCTGTATGCAGGTCAGGAAGCAACAGTTAGAACTGGACATGGAACAACAGACTGGTTCCAAATAGGAAAAGTAGTATGTCAAGGCTGTATATTGTCACCCTGCTTATTTAACTTATATGCAGAGTGCATCATGAGAAACGCAGGGCTGGATGAAACACAAGCTGGAATTAAGATTGCCGGGAGAAATATCAATAACCTCAGATATGCAAATGACACCACCTTTATGGCAGAGAACGAAGAACTAAAGAGCCCCTGGATGAGAGAGAGGAGAGTGAAAAAGTTGGCTTAAAGCTCAACATTCAGAAGACTAAGATCATGACATCTGGTCCCATCACTTCATGGCAGATAGATGGGGAAACAGTGGAAACAGTGGCTGACTTTATTTTTTCGAGGCCCCAAATCACTGCAGATGGATATTAAAAGACACTTACTCCTTGAAAGGAAAGTTATGACCAACCTAAACAGCATATTAAAAAGCAGAGACATTACTTTGCCAACAAAGGTCCATCTAGCCAAGGCTATGGTTTTTCCAGTAGTCATGTATACGTGTGAGAGTTGGACTATAAAGAAAGCTGAGTGCTGAAGAATTGATGCTTTTGAACTGTAGGTGTTAGAGAAGACTCTAGAGAGTCCCTTGGACTGCAAGGATATCCAACCAGTCCATCCTAAAGGAAATCAGTCCTGAATATTCATTGGAAGGACTGATACTGAAGCTGAAACCCCAATACTTTGGCCACCTGATGCAAAGAACTGACTTATTTGAAAAGACCCTGATGCTGGGAAGCATTGATGTCAGAGGGACGGCAGAGGATGAGATGGTTGGATGGAATTACCAACTCAATGGACATGAGTTTGGGTAATCTCCGGGAGTTGGTGATGGACAGGGAGGCCTGCCATGCTGCGGTCCATGGGGTCGCAAAGAGTCAGACACGACTGAGTGACTGACCTGAACTGAACAGCTTTTGATAAGAAAATGAAAATGGGTAGTATAATCAAGATCTTTGTAAAGTTTTCCTGAATACTCAGTACTTTTTATATGAATGGTTTCTTTGTTTTTGTGCTCTCTTATGCTTTCCTTTCACATACCACAGAGGCAGTCCTGAAAGATCCAAAAGTCATCTTTGGAGCTATTTTACTACCATTTATCCTCAGCCTACTTTTACTAAATATACTCCTAGTGTAGACAAGAAAGGAACAGTAATTGGCATTCTCAGTTGACTTATAGATTGTGGAATTTGTGTTTGACATAGTGTTTACACCAGAAATATGGAATTGCATGTAAGAATCTCTTCCACCAGTCATGATCCATGCTTTTACCTTATTTAGTGATTCTTTGGAAGTGGGAGATCATGTTGTTGTCTTGTACATGAAGGTGATGATCATAGGGATTTAAGGAACAAAGAAAGTATGTTTTATAAAGTTCGGTTCCTAGATGGACTTCAAAAGTATGCTTTCTCAGTATCCAAATGTGTTTGACTTATTTGAAACATTAAAAAATCTCTTTTCTGTTTGCCTATACTTTGATTGTTCAGTCTTGTTTTCTACGTTGAAATTAGCTTTTGTAGAATAGTAAGTTTGTGTATTAGATATTCAGTCATGTCCAACTCTTCATGACCCCATGGACTATATAGCCTGCCACGTTCCTCTGTCCATGGAATTCTCCAGGCAACAGTACTGGAGTAGGTAGCCTTTCCCTTCTCCAGATCTTCCCTATCCAGGGATTGAACCTAGGTCTCCTGCATTGCTGGCAGATTCTTTACCATCTGAACCACCAGGGAACAGTAAGATTAGCTAACTGTTTTGTAGATTCAGGGACCAATCTAAGTATTTGTTTTAACTCATTTAAACCTCACAGCAACTCAGTGACATAGAATATAAATTCTATAGTTTTCCTACTTAAAGATGAAGACACTGGGAATTACAGAGGTTAAATAGCTTGGTTAGGGTCCTATAGCAAGTAAGAAGCAGATATTTGGAACCAAGGAGGTCTAGTGCTAGAGCCTCCACCCTTAGCCACAAGACAAGTTTCCTGCCTGCCCAAAAGTTATTAAACTTAAAAAATTTTGTCTTTGTACATAAAACAGATGAACACATTTGTTATATATAAAACATTATTTTTTAAAATAATTTGAAGAAAATGAGTTTTAAAAGTTTTCATTGAGGTAATTAGCTAATGATTTGTAGGCAATTGTATATAATTGTATAACAAATATATAATATTTTTATTTTGTTTAGATTAGAATTATTATTACAGTTATTAATATCCATGTGGTTTATGTTGATTAAAAATGTTAATATAACTGTAGAGCATGTTAAGAGCCATAAGTGATGAAAGGGGAAGCCTTTTAAGCTAATTGAAATCTATTAAAATGAAATAAGCAGTCTCATTTGTAGGACAAGTAAAGTATGCTCACACAGGACGGTAAAGCAGGAATAGTTTTTCTACTTAAGAAAATAAATAATCAGTGCTCTCATTTCTATATAAAATTTGATTTTTATTGTGAAATTTTAAAATTAGAGTTTGATATATATTATGAAGGGCTTCCCAGTGGCTCAATGGTAAAGAATTCACCTGCAATGCAGGAGATGTGAATTTTATCCCTGGGTTGAGAAGATCCTATGGAGAAGGCCATGACAACCCATGACAATTCCAGTATTCTTGCCTGGGAAATCCCATGGACAGAGGAGCCTGGTGGTCTACAGTCCATGGGATTGCAAAAGAGTCAGACACGATTTAGCGACTAAACAACAACAACTATATTATGAAGACTAATTTTTTAAGAATGTGAATCTGTACTTTATGATTCTGTTCATGTTAATTTTTTGTGAGTCAGTTTATACTTCGTTTAGAAGAGCATATTTAGGGATACTCTTTTAAATTTCTATTTTTAATAATGAAGTAAAAGTTTTGTATTTTTCTATGTATACCATTTCTTAGTATGAACATCTATGCTATATCTTTTTGGAAATTTCCTATATGTTTATGCTAGTTCATTGAAATCTGTTTCAGGGTGTTCCAGCACCAGGTGCCTATGATGTTCAAAAATCCTATGAGATGTCTCAAATTCAACATAAATACATGCCACCTCGTACTTTAGTGGCTAGAATAAAACATGCCTCCTTTCTTAGCACAACACCTCGGTGCCTGGACAAAGTGGATGATGGGCCAGGTAAGTAAAGATTGTCCTTTTAAAGATATGAGGGAAAAAAAATCTAAGGTTTCCTTATTAAAATAGATAATTGTAAACATACATTTACATTTATCATGTCTCTTTTAAGTTTGCAGGCCAAAAAAAAAAACAAAAACAAAAACCAACCTAAATCTGCTTATTTAGTGAAAGATTTTAGAATTTTTTCAACTGTAAGGTTTGTTTGGAATTTTATGTCTTTTAATTTTTCCAAAGACAATTTTACTAATTTTATTACAGCTAATAAGTCATCTCTTATTAGAGAAAAAAACAAACTCTAAATATGCTACATTATTAGAGCAGAAATAACTACTGATTTGGAAAATCAGTCATATACAAGATACGTATCTTGTACATATCATGCCAGTCTCATGGAATTATTTAAATTTTCCTCAAGTATTAAGAAAGCAACGATTTAAAAGCTAAATGTTTTTTATCAGGGCTTGAAATACCAAAAGAAATTTTTATTTTAAAAATTGCAATTAGTTCAGCTACTAGTAATCACACTTCTGTACTAAAATATAATGAAATAGCTTTTCTTGGTAATGAAAATGAATTGATAAGTCCATTTCACACCAGAGTGCTAGATAAAGAATAGGAACATGAGTTTTCAACAGTAATTTACAAATGTATTGCCAGTAAATAATCAAATTATTGTAATGAATCTTTATGAGACTATGAAAAGAAAAAATGAAATAGAGAAAATTAAGAGGTTTTAAAGAAAAATCAAAGCAAGAGAATATAATGGGTCAAGCAAATAAGAATACTTTGGGAACCCTGAAATCCATAGAGACTTGCTTTATTTTTCACTTTCAATAATCAGGTATATTACCAACTTACAGGTCCATTTTAAGTCTAAATTTAGCTTTCCTTAGTTTCTTTTTCATCTTTTGAGTTATTGTGCCCTTATATATTTTGTCAGGTTTTAGCTTTGTTTGAAGTATCAGTAGAATTCAATTACCTTTACTGTGTCCGTCAGCTCAGTTCAGTTCAGTCGCTCAGTCGTGTCTGACTCTGCAACCCCATGAATCGCAGCACGCCAGGCTGCCCTGACCATCACCAACTCCTGGAGTTTACCCCAACTCATGTCCATCGAGTCGGTGATGCCATCCAGCTATCTCATCCTCTGTCGTCCCCTTCTCCTCCTGCCCCCAATCCCTCCCAGCATCAGGGTCTTTTCCAATGAGTCAACTCTTCGCAAGAGGTGGCCAAAGTACTGGAGTTTCAGCTTCAGCATCAGTCCTTCCAATGAATATTCAGGACTGATTTCCTTTAGGATGGACTGGTTGGATCTCCTTGCAGTCTAAGGGACTCTCAAGAGTCTTTTCCAACACCACAGTTCAAAAGCATCAATTCTTCGGTACTCAGTTCTCTTCACAGTCCAACTCTCATATCCATACATGACCACTGGAAAAACCATAGCCTTGACTAGATGGACCTTTGTTGGCAAAGTAATGTCTCTGCTTTTTAATATGCTATCTAGGTTGGTCATAACTTTCCTTCCAAGGAGTAGGCATCTTTTAATATCATGGCTGCAATCACCATCTGCAGTGAATCTGGAGCCCAAAAAAGTAAAGTCTGCCACTGTTTCCACTGTTTCCCCATCTATTTGCCATGAAGTGATGGGACTGGATGCCATGATCTTGGTTTTCTGAATGTTGAGCTTTAAGCCAGCTTTTTCACTCTCCTCTTTCACTTTCATCAAGAGGCTCTTTACTTCCTCTTCACTTTCTGCCATAAGGGTGGTATCTTCTGCATATCTGAGGTTATTGACATTTCTCCCGGCAATCTTGATTCCAGCTTGTGCTTCTTCCAGCCCTGCGTTTCTCATGATGTACTCTGCATATAAGTTAATAAGCAGGGTGGCAATATACAGCCTTGATGTACTCCTTTTCTTATTTGGAACCAGTCTGTTTTTCCATGTCCAGTTCTAGCTGTTGCTTCTTGACCTGCATACAGGTTTCTCAAGAGGCAGATCAGGTGGTCTGTGTCCATAACCACACTCAGTATATGGTCACCCAGAAATGTTTTAGGGAAATTAGTTCTTTGATGTCCAGGTACTATCACTGTCACCAAGAACAATCAATCAAGTAACAAACAGATATCTATTCCAGAGTCCCTTAAAGTAGATTAGATTGGTTTTCATGTTTTCTGAAGATTTTTTTCCTTTGCCTTTACTCTCATATCCATAAAATGTATTATAGATAGAATGCATAGTAAGAGTTTAATGTTCCAGAATTGGAATCTGACTTTTTTGTTACTTCAGTATTTAGCCTCAGGCAATTAAACTCGCTAATTGTTTCATTAATTTCTATTTTACAAAATTGAGATAATACTTGCCACCTCTTGACTCTCATGAGAATATGAAAGATTAATAAAACTATACTTCAAAGTCATTTTCAGGACATTTGAATCTCCTAGAAGTATAAAATCTTATTATAATATGAAACATGTTTCTTCTTAGTGCCAAGCCAGCAATAGCTTCTGAAAGATTTTGGGATAGGGAAATATTGTCATTATGAAGACAGTTATTATTTGGAAGTCGGAGACATATGGGCTGTCAATGTCACTATACAACTGTAGATTAGCTAGTTAACTAAATGAAAAGAATTTATCACAGTAAGCCAATACTTCATTAAGTTTGCCATCCTGCATCTTAAAGTAGCCTATAATTCAAATAAATGATAGCAGATATCCCACATACCTCTATGATCAGCACATTTGAAAAAATATATGCATTTCTGAAGGTATTATCTGATGCCATGATTATATTTGATTTCCTCTGATGTATGTAGATACTGTAATATTATAGAATGGTTCATTTTTTTGAACTGAATCTTAAAATATACAGTCCAGAATATGTCTCTTACATATATTTAATAGATGACCAGGGCCAATTAATATCCATACCTTGATTTGGTAATTGAAAATTAACTTCTGTTTGTCCTGTTACATTGATCCAATCTAGGAAAATAAGTCAGGTGTGTGGTTTTATCAGCTCTCTGAATAGGTTCATCTTATTTTGTTGATTTTTGTTTAGGCTAAATTTTTTATTGACTGATAGTATAAGCAATTCTTAATTCTATAATGAGAATAGCCCATTTATATTTATAGGTCTTAATACCATTTAACTTTTGTTCAGACAACTGGGATGTTAAGTCTTTAGGTTTTTGTTTTAAATCATTGTTATATGATCAAAAGGTACAATGATAGTAATTCTGTTGGTTATACATTTTGTGTCAATGTTTATCCTATGAATGATATTTTTTCTTATCATATATTCTTATAAATAGAAAAAGAGTGGGTTTTTTTTAATCCCTAATATTTGTCATTTAACTCTCAGTAATTGTTTTACCTTAATATCGGTGATAAGAGCCATTGGGTTTTACGTCAAATTATTTATGAGCCAGATAAAATTATTTTCTGTTACTATATATGTGTATTTGTATACATTTGCAACTGTAGGACTGAGTTAATTTATAGAGCCTGATATGCATGTTTCTTCCATGAGTCATGACATTGGCAAGAAGAATTGAATGCTTTGCCTTTCAGAACTTAAAGAATATGTACCTATAATAGAATAATAGGCAAGTTAAAAATTTAATACTGTCTGATATTTGTAGGTAGAAGTGGTAAGAACTAAGATTGATAAATGACATAATATGAGTTTGGTTGATATATGAATAGTATTCTTGGGATGCACAAACTTATAGGATATTCAATCACTCAACATTCTATAGCTGTGTATTTATTTCAAATTATTTTAGAACTTTTATTAACACTATGGAAGTGATTTTGTCTTATTCAAATGAAGTCTTTTCTTTGAAGTTATTTAAGAAGGATAAAATTCATTTTCATTAGTCTAAATTAAAGAGGGAATTAGTATAGTTGCAGTCAGTATACTGTATACCATCAAATGTTATGTAACCAATAAAAAACACATTTGAATCATTTAATGAGGAAGTTATTAAGTGAGGTGTATCACATCATAAAGTAATCTACTCTTGCACACCAAGTTTTAATTCAGGTATATGTAAATGACTTTGTGATAAATCTACTTCAGGTAAAGTGAAATTGTTATGTGTGAAGAGAATTAAACATTATTTTTTCCTCTCATATTTGACCTGTTTTTGGACATTTGGAGGAGGAAAATACTCAAAAAATTTAAAAAGAAAATGAATGAAAACATTGAGAATATGGAAAACTGGGGACTCTTTTGTATCACAGTGGAAGTATAAGTTCATATCAGTGATTCTAAAGGATAGGCTGGCAGAATGTTTCAAATATACATCCCATTTAACCTTAAAGTTCTACTTCTGTGATTCCTCTATGAAATAATTGATGATATGCCTAAAGTTTTACACATTAAGTATATTTATCCAAGAATACTTAAAATGAAAAGTTTTAAATATATTAAATGAAAGAAAAATAGGTAATTCTGATGTATAAGCTGAATAGAATCCTATGAAAAATTTTAAAATGGTATATATCATTTAAACCTGATAACAGGATAGGATTAATTTGATCAGTCATTCAACAACTATGTACCGAGAGCCTCTTATATATTAAGCGCTGTTCCAGGGACTTGTGATAGAGCAGTGAACAAGATATAAACAGTGTTTCATGGAGCAAAATCTTAGGATTGAGACATTTAATAAATAAATGAATCAATAGATCAATAGATTGATAAATGAGGGAAGGAAAAGAAAGAATACCAGATGGTTATAAATGCTGTGCAGAAAAATGAGAAAAAAGGAAGAATGGGAGTTCATTGTGGATTCTGCATCAGTTTAAAAAGTGTTATCAGTGAAGAGCTTACTTGGAAAAGAATATGTGATTAAACAACCTTAGGCTCATGAAATATTTTGTTTTGCTTTTCGATTTTTGCTTTCTCTGTATGAACATACACTGTTTTATAGTAAGTAAAAATGATTTAAAATTTTTAATAAAACAATTGAAATTTAAAGCATAATTTTAATTAA